TCAGGGTCTCACTGAGTTGCTTAGTACCCAGACATTGCTGAGGCTGGTTTTGAACTTGTGATTCCCCTGCCTCAGCCTCCAGAGCTGCTGGGATTACAGGCATGTACCACTGTGCTCAGCTACATGTTTTTAAATGAATAAATTGGAGCTTTTCATTTTATGAATATGTTATGGATTATTTTCTGCCAGATGCATTATTTTACCATTGGATTCACAAAACATCTCTATTTTGTTCATTTACACACACAAAATAATGTTTTCTCATTTTTTTTCAGTTTAGCTTTTTAACACCAGATTTAGTTTATTTCACATCACTAATTTGTTTCAATATAGCAATCACATTAAATTAAAAAACAAAACAGAAAGCAATTGTTTGAGATTTGGTTGGACAGCAGAGCAACCTGGGTAAACAGGCAGCAAACCCTCCAGGTGAGTTACAGATAAGCTTTTTAAGCTTATCCTTTTGGATGACTGTTTACCAAAGGGTAGGACCAACTGAAGATGGAAACCAGCAGACTTATCTCCCTAAAATATTATAAACATATACCTTTCTGTATTATTTATATGTATATATTATATGTGACACTTGAGAAATATACCCAGGAAGTTCCATCCTCTTGGTAACTCCATTTCAATCTTAACTCCTTCACTAGTAGACCATGTTTTCATTGATCATTTTTGTGGTTCATAGGATTGTACATTTAATAACATGATGTAATTTAATAACATGATGTAATTTTTTTAACTATTTGGGCTTAAGTTTTATCTTATATTTACTCTCATTTTAAAAATATTTTTTTTCTATTTGCATTTCTCCTAAGTTGTCTGACTTCCTTTTCTTCTTCTTCTTCTTTTTTTTGGTGTGTGTGTGTTTGCCACGCTTCCTCTTTTTTTCTTCTGCTTTCCCAATAGATGTTGCCAGTAGAAACTAATAAGGACTATGTACTTTCACACAGTCTTTACATGTTTATCTGGTACAAAGGGAAATTCTATTGCATCATATTCCATCAGCTTCAGTTTACCAATTAAGACTGCTCTGAAGACAGATCCCAAAGAGGTAATACCAAAAATTGATGAATTGTTCTCAAGAGACTTCTCTGTTTGGGCCATATTTGTCTTCTGAAGAGGCTATTCAGAAAGAATAGACTATTTCACACATTTAATTTACATTCCCTGCATTATCAATCAGTGTTTTCAAAGGGTTAGTTATCTGTAACAGATCCACCTGGGTGCTGGTAAAAATGCATATTACTGAGCCATACCCCAGGTCCAAAGAGTTAGAATTTCTGGAGGTGAAGCTCATGAATATTCAGTTTTTAACAAACTTTCTAGATGTTCCTTCTCTGGAACAATGTTTGAGAATCGTGGGTATAGCAAAATGTTCATGGTTTAGTTTGAGTGTGTCCCCCAAACTTCCTGTGTTAAAAGTTTGGTTCCCAGTGTGGTGGTATTGAAGTGGAGCAGTGTAGCAGAAGGTAACTGAGTTATGGGGGTCCTGGCTGGAAAGTGATTATGCTGGTCCAAGTGAGAACAAGCTGTTCTCTCAAGAGCATGTTGTTTATAGAGCAAGACCACCCCACCTGCTTGGCCCCTTCTGCACAGGGCTATTTTCCTTTCTGCTTCTCCAGTATTTTGAGATCAGGTCAGTGAGGTCCTTATCAGGAGCCAAAATAAATATAGCTATCCAATTTTGGACTTTCCAGCCCTTATAATAGTGAGTAAAATAAACCTCTTTTGTTTATGTTATGGGCACCCTCAGGTATTTTGTCATACCAACACAAAATGGACTAATATAGCTCACTGGTCCTTAAATACACTTGATGATTGATACACTATCTCCTTATTATATTCCAAATATTTCTCTCATATATTGAATATTCTCCTGGGACAGAATTTTGTGTTATCAGTCTCTATCTGGATATGCTTACTTGAATGGTTTTTTTCATCCCACACTCACTCAAGAGATTCCAAATTAAACTATCCACCAGATGTCTCCAACTCTGTTGTCATGTGGTTGTTATCCAGGGGTTATCTTTGTGTTCCATCATTTTGATATAATACATTGGCTATTATGTAGAGCACTAAAGAAGAAATTATAAAAAAAAAGGAGAACTGGTTAATGACCTCTAGGGTCTAAAAGATTCTTTTACAGGGTGTAACTTAATTCTATTGTTCTTTACTTGTTTTCTCAGAATAATCCCTAACTTACCTTGTTATCACCTTAATCTATAATCTTCACATTTACGAATAAACCGATACAATTTTTCCTAATTAGACTCTTTGCTCTCTAATCTCCCGCATCTTCTGAAACTTAATCTAATAAAGACTTTTTACCTCACTTACTGCCTGTTCCCAATTGTTTACAGACTACCTTACAAACTAGATTTAAGGCTCTTTACCATCTAGCTCCCGAATACATTTCTCTGGAATAAACTTCTACCTCTACCAAATAGATATGTGAACTTGATGTAAGCATTTTATTTTCTGGGCTCATGATGTTAATTGACCAAATTATATTTTTCTCTTAAGGCCTGATTCCTTCTCCCACCAACTTGGCTGGCCCTCAGAACTTGCTTTTTTTCAGCTCCTCTGGTGATTCTATGCCTTTTGTAATAAAAAACATGCATGTGCTCCTTGGTATTATCTTTTATTTTTCTAATTCCCCAGTTACCCTGTTAGCTTCCTAAATGTAGGAACAATATTTTGTTAACTCCTTTCTCTTCTTTGTCTAGTCCAGACTTATGTCTAGTAAGTGTTCAAAATACTGAGCAAATTTATTTGTTTATGCATTCCTACATCAAATAATTATTGAATGCCCAATGAGAACAAATATGTTCCTTGCTTTCATGGGACATATATTTTAGTTGGAAAGACATTAATGAGATAAAAAATAAGATGATCAATAGCTCTATTCTTTTTTTAGTAAACTGTTTAAGTACCTGTCATAAGCCAGGCATTGTGTTCAATACAAAGCTGAGGCTGATAGGTTTGGGAGGAGAATCATATATAAACCACTAAACTATAATGTTATACATGGGAACAAAGTACCCTAGAGCAGAACGAGTACAACTATCTCTGCCAAGGAAAGTCTGCCCACTTTCGTTTGGATCTTGAAAGTGAATTTATACGAGGTTCAATAATGCAGTATTTTTACCCGAAGGGTCATTCTCAGAAACCTGATAAGCTGATTCCTATGTCATTATTTTGAGCAGAAATCTGAGCTAGGTCCAAGAATCTGGAGATATGAGTAGACTAAAGCACAGAGGAGGGTGACAGTGTCAGAATGGTTTGCTATCAGGTTAACAGCCAGGTCCAGGCTAATGGGCCTTCCTCCTGGCGCCTCCCTGGCTCTGCCGCCTTTCGCGGAGTTGTTAAATTTACGTCCCCCAGAATCTTAGGGGTTCGCAAAGCAGCAAGTGAAAAATCTGCCATAATTTTTTTTTTTTTTT